TTTTTCCATCCCTTCACTTTCATCCTGTGTGTGTCTTTTGTTTTGAGGAGGATCTGTTGTGGACAGCATCTAGTTGGGTCATGTTTTTTTATCCATTCAGCTACCCTACACCTTTTGATGGGAGCATTTAAAACACTTACATTTAGGTTTATTATTGAGAGGTACTTATTTAGAGCCATTTTAGTTCTGTATGGCGAGGTTTCTCTCTCCATCTCTTCTTCTCAGCAATCCCTATAGCATTTCTTGTAACGCTGGCTTGGTGATGATGACCTCCTTTAGCTTTTTTTTTTTTTGTCTAGGAAGCTCTTTATTTGACCATCTATTTTGAATGATAGCCTTGCTGGATATAGTAATCTTGGTCTCAGATCCTTGCTTTCCATTACTTTGAGTACTTCATGCCATTCCCTTCTGGCCTGTAGAGTTTCTGATGAGAAATCAGGTGTCAGCCTTATGGAAACTCCTTTGCAGGTAACAGTTTTCTTTCCTCTTGCTGCCTTTAAGATTCTCTCTTTGTCTTTAATTTTGGGCATTTTAATTATGATGTGTCTGGGCATGGGTCTGTTTGGGTTCTTCTTGTTTGGGGTTCTCTGTGCCTCCTGAACTTGTGTAACTTTTTCCTTTACCAGGTTCGGGAAGTTTTCCACCATTATTGCTTCAAACAACTTCTCTATTCCTTTCTGCCTCTTCTCTAATATTGTTACGTTTCACATTGTCCCACAGCTCCTGTAAGCTGTCCTCCGGTTTTTTTACTTGTTTCTTCTTTTTGGTTCTCTAATTGAGTGATATTTTCAACTCTGTCTTCTAATTCACTGATTCAACCCTCAGCTTCTCCCATCTGCTGTGTATTCCTTCCAATGTGTTCTTATTTGTGTTATGTCATTCTTTATCTCAGACTGTTCTTTTTTCATAGTTACCATATCTTTTTTCATACTGTTGAGCATTTTTAACATCATTACTCTGAACTCTGTTCAGAAAAATTTCTTCTCTGCTTCCTTGATCTCTTCTTCTGAAGAATTCACTAGTTCTATCGTTTAGGGGTTGTTTCTTTGTTTCCTCATTTTGGCTGTCTGTTAGGGTTTGTGACTATGTTTTAGGTGGATCCTCTACACCTCTCAATCTCTAGTGCAGGACAGTGTTAAAGGCTGTTTCTGACGACAGTGGGGCCTTGACTTATGAGTTTAATTCGTTCCGAGACTGAGCTCGTTAAGGAGCTCGTTAACTCAAATTACTCTATCAACTCAATGCAGAAAATCGGGTGAGAGACAGCTGGTTATCTCAAAAAACTCGTTAGTCGGGACACTCGTAAGTCAAGGCCCCACTGTAATTGGGTCAGGCAATAGACTCAAAGCCTCCAGATACCACCTAGACCAGTGGTTCTCAACCTTGGCCGCACCCTAGAATCACCTGGGATTCCTCCCTAAATCCTAACTTCTGGGCCTCACCCTCCGGAAACCCTGCCTCTTTGTGATTGGCGGGGGGGGACACACAACATTAGTAACAAAGACACAGAATTTCCGGAGGACGAGGCCCAGAAATCAGGATTCAGAAGATTCCCAGGTGATGCCAATGTGCAGCCAAGGCCGAGAACCACTGACCTAGATTAATCGGATTCTGACTTGATTGCCCCCAGGCAATCGTCCTCAGGGGTGGCGAGAGTTTTTTCAACTGGGTGCGGCAGGTGCCTCTGCCTTGAGGCTCATTGTTACTTTTAATCTCAGGGCAAGGCGTTTCCCAATAGGGTGTGTGGACTGTCTTCCCCCAGGCAAGGCAGCTGTCTGTGTGGGGAAGCTGTCCTCCGCTGGGTGAGGGAATGGCTCAGCCCAGGAAACTTGGGGTGTCTGCCTTCTGAGCTCTGTCCCCCGAGTCTTTCATCCTGGGTTCTGCTCTCACGGCTCCAGTCCGCTTCACCCTCCTGCTGCCAGAGCACCAGGTGGGTGGCTCCACAGGGAATGTTTGTGCCTTGGCCCTTTTCAGAGGGTGCCCGAACTTTCAGCTGCCACTCCCTGGCAGACAGCACCCCAAAAGCTGCTTTTCACAGCTAGATGTTATGTGGGTACCCTCCTCAGTTTGGTGCTCTCTGCTGGGAGCTCAGCTTTGGGATTAGAGCCCAGAGTTCTCAGTGGCACCCCCCCAACCCCCCCCAGCTGAGATATCTCTCCAGGACTTCATTTGCCAGCCCTTTCGCACCTCTGCCCCTCCTACCAGTCTCTATGCGGTCTCCACCTTCGGGCTTTGGTATCAGGGTTCTCTCCTGTGAGTTTTCCATTGATTATTCAGTAAGGCTTTCTGTACTTCAGTTGTAATTCCAGCTTGTTCCTGGGAGCATGTCCATGCAGCATCCTCCTACTCTGCCGCCATTTTCAATCTCTCCCTGCCGTAGTGTCTTTATACTTCAGTTTCTAGAAAGCGCAGGAGGAGAACGGCCTGCAACCGGTTACCTATGGGTTAAGGCTTTTAAGCAGGAAGCACGCACTATGTACTGTTCCTTTAAGGCGTAGGGCCTGCCCGAGGCATTCTGGTCCTCGCCGCTCCCCGTAGCGGCCCTCCGAGAGGCCGGCTTTGTGCGCTC